TCGACGAGTACCCAGGCCGTGCACAAACTCGCCCAGTCGGCTGTACTTGTCGATTTAATTTCTAGTTCGACGGGCCCTTTTCCTACCTATAGCGTCAACCAACTCACCGAGTCAGCAGTACTTGTCGCCAGCCATCTGCTGGTAGCCTCGCGTAGCTGTCCGAGCTGTACAAGCATGCTTGTTACCGGCTACGGGTTTGTTTTTCTTTGAATATCAATCAATTCTCACCCATCGTTTTCAATAATTCAGCCCTCACTATGGAACAGTACTTAATATGATTTCTTTGCAGTCATGAAAGTGCGAAGTCATGCCTTTTCCCCATCTTAGTATGGCAATCGCTTCCCTAGACGTCAGTGAGCCAAGTGATGCGATTCCCCCATTTTTTTTTATAGGCCCCCGAAAGTGGCCGGAAAATGAAGGAAGGTAAGAAGTTTACGTGTAACTAACAAACAATGATGCCAAGAAATTCATAGGGGATGTTGGCAGTAAGTGTAATGCAAATTTACGTTACAAACACTTCCAACATCCCCAATACATTCTTAGGCATCACTGTTTGTTATAGTTCACATAACTAGATAGATAGACAGATAGATAGACAGAGATAGACATACAGACAGACAGACAGACAGACAGACAGACAGACAGACAGACAGACAGACAGATAGATAGATAGATAGATAGATAGATAGATAGATAGATAGATAGATAGATAGATAGATAGATAGATAGATAGATAGATAGATAGATAGATAGATAGATAGATAGATAGATAGATAGATAGATAGAATGACGATTCGGGTCGTGCACCAGGATTCGCGAGGCATGCGGTAAGCTTTATCGCGATTTAAGCACGTTTGTTATACAGTGGCGACAACTTTTAAGACGAACGCCTCCCCACCACTGGAACCAATGAAGCCACAACGTTTATTCTACCTAACGAAGAAAACGTTCGTTATTTGACGTCTAATGGCGGTGTCCACAAACACAATAATGGTTTTCCGAACGATGTGAGGACCATAAGCTGCTATGAGGCTGCTGATGTATCATACTAATAGAGTGTTCACGTTATATCTGTACGGCCCTGAACATACTGTCACCTTTGCCATATTACTCTTATCGTCAGGCACACAAGAATTTCGCCCCCCCCAAAGGGGGGGGGGGGGGTGAATCTTGACCAGACAGCTTCATCGCGCATGACTTATTTGCGTTTTGCTTTTCAAACGTACGGCGGCTGCATTTCTGATGGAGGCGGAAATGTTGTAGGCCCGTGTGCTCAGATTTGGGCGCACGTTAAAGAACCCCAGGTGGTCTAAATTTCCGGAGCCCTCCACTACGGCGTCTCTCATAATCATATAGTGGTTTTGGGACGTTAAACCCCACATGTCTATCTGTCTTTTCAAACGTACCGCCTTATTGTATTTCCTTTCGATAGATTTTCCTCCGCAAGGGCTGGCAATCAGGCATCTGATAGACAAAGAGTGTTTCCATCACCCCAGCACGCTACAAAGAAGGTTTCCATCATTCCTACCACAACGAGTTGTCCAGCAACTGCACACGCTTGTAAGCGCTTGTAGTACGTGTATACTACATTGGGTTCGATCGAATCACGAACTTCAGTTCTGTGTTAGTTCTGTGCAGCGGAAACCCTACTGCAGACATTAACTTCTTGCACGGGTGTAAAAGCATCCAATATATGGTTCCAGAGGTGATTTTTAGTGCTTGTTTTTAGATGAAGGGGCGATAAAGCAATGCGCAGCGTGAGGGAGAAAAAGAGCGCGAATGAAGATGTTACTTGAAGCAATTAAAAAAAAACGAAAAAAATATTCACTGGAACTAACAACGCTTTTTGCAAATATTCGAGTTTCGAATTCAAATCGAATAATGCCTAATCGAATACGTCGATTCTATTTTTCAAATAGCTAGTATTCTAACGGTCGAATAATTCGACAGGGGGAATACCCAAAGCACGACCAAGGCCATTGGTGCAAATTTGTTTGGTGTGGGAGGGTAAAACTGTAGTGAGTCAGTCAGTCAGTTAGTGAACAAACTTTATTCGCGTCCTAAGGAAATCCAGAGTCGTAGTTGCAGGCCGCGCCCAAGTTGAGCTGGAGGTTCAAAAATGCTGCCACTAGCCCCTGATCCCAAGAGAGGATGAGCCTCTCAATTCCTGGAAAGACCGTGGGGCCTTACTTAATCCAGGATAATCGTCTAAATTGCTTTGAGATACCTTCCCGCGCCTGAGGTGCTCAGTGAGTGGATGTTTTCAAATGCCGAAAACACCGTAACATCACGGCAAGAGAGCTCGACCCTATCTATAGGGATTGTCGATTGATTGATATGTGGACTTTACCGTCCCCAAACCACTATATATGATTGTGAGAGACGCCGTAGTGGAGGGCTCCGGAAATTATGACCTCCTGGGGTTCTTTAACGTGCACGCAAGTCTGAGCTCACGGGCTCACAGCATTTTCGCATCTATCGAAAATGCAGCCGCCGCAGCCGGGATTCCATCCCGCGACCTGCGGGTCAGCAGCGGAGCACTTTAGCCACTAAGCCACGGCGGCGGGAGATTATACGAGGGATTATTGGATGGATTTATACGAGGGAGTATTGGTCAGCTGCCAGCTCGTAATAAGTTCACGTGCTACGTGACACCAAAACAGCTTGTGTTCCGGCACTGACAATTTCTAGCCTTCCGGTAGCAGTCACTCACCTAGTTTTGCGCTCGAAGATACGGGCAGATTGCTGTTCTTCACTCTCCGTTACGATTTCCAATGGCATCTTTGAAACAGCGTTCTTAGTCGAGACTTTCACGCAAGGGATCCGCGGTATAACGCTGCACGGTGGAGTTCACGAACGGGTCAGCTCCAGCCGAAATTTGACAAGTCCCGCAACTACCCATTCACTGGTCCGTCAGAAATGAAGAAGGCTACAGTTGACCCCAACAAACCAGTGTGTGCCACGAAAACGTGTGCGGTCTATCGGAAAACTATCATCGTCATAAACGCGCATGCGTGAATCCCGCTGCACGCAACTTCCAGTAAACAAAAAAAAAAGGGGGGGGGGGGGAGGAGGCGACAGTTATAGCGTTATCGCGCAACAAATTGTGAGCGCCTTACCATAACAACACCACTGTCACGTGATACTTTGCGGTTATGAAAAGTGCTGGCTGTACCCCAATGTTTAACAAAGAGTGTTTAATAACCGGCAGTTGTACAACATACCTCCAAGACCTGAAACAGAAAGAAATGCGAGGCGTCCTGCATACGGATGCAAAAAAAAAAAAAAAAGAAAGAAGGAAGGTATCCACTAAGCCCTTGGTCTGCCAGTGATTCAGCAAAAGATATCTTGATGTCTGGCGGCGCTGCACTTCATTGACCCATTTTTGAAGAAAATGTCATTAAACGTCCATTGATCTGATTGATTTGTGGGGTTTAACGTCCCAAAACCACCATATGATTATGAGAGACGCCGTAGTGGAGGGCTCCGGAAATTTCGACCACCTGGGGTTCCTTAACTTGCGCCCAAATCTGAGCACACGGGCCTACAACATTTCCGCCTCCATCGGAAATGCAGTCGCCGCAGCCGTGATTCGAACCCGCGACCTGCGGGTCAGCAGCCGAGTACCTTAGCCACTAGACCACCGCGGCGGGGGCCATTAAACGTCCATTGAGGTCGACGATACAACTGGCACTGAATCGCGAGGCATTGCCGATTCGCAAGCCGTGCTTCAACGTTCGTTGTCGAGCGCGGTTTCACATCGCGATCCTTTGCCCGAGCACTTGCAACCGAGTTGAAACTCAAAGCGCAGCAATAGGCGCGAACAGAGGGATGCTTCGCACCGTTTCAAGGACGGACGACTCGTCCCGCTCGCAGTTGCCCGGCGAGCAAACGGGAACACCTCGCTACATCGTCCGTGACCGGGAAAATATCAAACCAGGAAGCGAGTACGAGACCGTCGCATGCGAGACAATAGGGTGGGGTGGGCGCCTCGATCGGATATCGATGTACCGGTGGCGGCGCCCTAGTGGCGTCAGCTAGGACTACGACTGTCGTTGGTAGAACACTCATTATTGTACGGTTCGTTCATTTGACGGCGAGCGAAACACTGCCTAAATACGGCATACCAACGCTATGGCTGGCACCGTTACTTCAATGATTAAGCTCTAAGGGTCAACCATGGGATCAAACAGTTGAAGATTGAAGAGAATTAGTGAAAGCTCTTCAATGAAAGTAGAATGATCATCCAGCATATTATTGGCCTTTTTTGGTATTCCTCCGAGAGATAGAGAGAGGGAGGGGGAAGACCTAGCGTTGTGTGGGCGGAAATATGTGAAAAAAAATGGTAATCATGTAAAATAGCTGTCCGAAAAGATCAACAGTCTAGTCAGTTAATGTAAAATATATTAACAAAACATGAAAAAAAGGACCCTTAATGATGTAGGGCATACTTTCTTGAGGTCAGTTCCTGTGCTAATGTACTCCCGAGGTTTTGTTACTTCGGCCAAAATTTAAGTACAAGATGGTTCACAGGCAAAGCAGGCCCCACACTTGTTCACTTCGTATTCCACATTCATTTCCTAAACGTGTCCAAAAAGACTACCATGAAGCAGTCAGTCGTCCCAATCAGGTCAGCAACTATTTTCCCAACACTTCCTCACTGCCAATGTTTGCCCCTTCGGACTAGCGAGAAGGAACGAAACTGTCAGAGCAGCCAATATGTTTATAAATAGCAGACATTGACCATCACCTCAAGATGCACCTGGCTAGGCACACCATCTGAGTGCAAAGCTGTCAATCCTGCACACTCGTGCACAGTACGCCTGGAGAGGCAGGATAACTGCTGTTTGGGCATGTTTGTTTGGCCTTACAATAGCAAAAAACACAACTAGAACAAAGAGTGCACTCAATCCTGCATTCTTTTGTAACTTTCATTCCAGGTGGGCCTTTGTCATCATGGGAAAGCAGTGGTACGCAGTAACGAAAGAAGACACTTGAAGTGCATCGAGACAATGCTAGGCATTTATTATAACAGCTCGAAACAGTACACTTATTTTAAATACACGCGGCAAGAAACAGACTTATGTACACGTATAGTTTTGACTTAGATACAACAGTATGTACAGGCATTGCAAGAAACTTTGGTTCCAGCGGGGCCACCCCACAGCACCGCTACAGCAATGGACAAGCTTTTCTTTTTTGACCACCTCCAGATCCTGTGACACAATTTAAAAAAAAAAAAAAAACAGAACCTAACTGCAATACTGTGACATGACAAACTCGCCAGAGACCCTCTTAGAGTTCCGTCGAGCCTGAATGCTCAGTAGGGATGGTGCTTTCCATTACGGTACTCTCCATTTCACTGTTGTTGAGGGACGACAGGTTTTGTTCGTTGAAGGGGCTCGTACATCCTGGTGCTACGGGTACAGCTTCTGCAATGTTACCAGAAGAACCAGGTAGAGAATTGTCAAGGTCAACAGGCATTGGAATAGTCGGGGGTTCCGGTGTGGGCTCTTCCGTGCTGCCACTGCCACCAGCTGCAGAAGGCACTGCCTCGGCAGTTGGTTGCCGAGGGGCTTCGGAAGACGAAGGCGCTTCAACTTCCATAGGCACGGCTCCCTTCTCCTCCTTGCTGCCGCCAACTTGGACAGCAGGTGGTGCTTCAATGGGGCCTGCAACCTCAGGATTTGCAGATGCTGCTGGTGCGGTGGTCGTACTTGACCCAGCAGCCACTGCATCGCCGTTGTCGATGCTTCCGTCGTCGGCAAACTGGGAGGCTTCGTCGGCGAGCTCTCCGACTTCTTGAGGTGGAACCTCTACAAGCGAATGTCCCGGCTCCTTGCCCTCCAGTAGGTTGACGACGGACTGCACCTCCTTGACCATCGACTTGCGCAGCTGTCGGACATTATCCCTGCCTGCCGGGTCGATGGCGTCCAGCTTGATCATGAGTCGTGTCAGCATCTCATCGAGGAACTTGTACTGCTTGTCACCAGGCTTGCCACTGAAGTTCAGCACCTGCTGCCGGAGGTCAGCGAGCTCCAGACTGATCCGACGTATCTGCTCTTCGGCCGTGGACTGCTTGCTTGCCTCCTGCTGCTGCGGGGGTGGCGGCTCCGAGCCCTGTTTAGATGGTGGGGCTTGTGGAGCTAGCCTACCACCCGACGATGACTTGGATGTCGTCGGCGGGGTACGCCTCGCCGATTGCTGGCACTTTTGCCTCGGGAACGTGTGCGGCCAGCTCTTTCGTCCTGCTGATCCATCGGGTCGTCAACCCGACACCTGGCCATGGCTTCGTCCCCGCAGTCCATCTGGATGGGTATAGTCCTCACATTCCGAGACTCTCCTGTCATCTCCTCATCCTGGTGGGGGTGACTCTGAGATGGACTTTTTGCCGGCCTGCCCTGTACAGGGTATCCGTCAACTTCGATGGGAACTGCGTGGACATTCCTGGGTTCCCCAGAAGCACCGGGCTGCCCTTCTTTGGGGCTCGCGAAGGACATCCTGCTGCTCTGGGGCTTGATGTCGCCGTCGGAGGCGTAGCCCGAGGATCCCGCGCGCCCTTCCACCACGATTGGGATGTGGTGGACTCGAGGTTCATGGCGTGGCTTCGAACACGAGGCCCCGTTGGAGGCGCCACTGCGGGCGCTGGAACCGCTGGACCGGCTGCCCTGGGACGACGTCTCCGAGGCGGCGTCGTCGTCGTGACCGGTGCCACCGCCAGACGTCGTCTCATGAATCACCTTGATGGGCACGCCACCTTCGTCGAAGTCCGTGGTCCAGCCGCGGCGTACGCGAGACGATTGCGGCGAGCCCGGCATGGACCCAGAGTTGCCAAACACGGAGCTGGTGTTGCGCCATTCCGGGTCATCGTAGAAGGTGGGCTGCGTTAGAGGTAAGGAAATGGTCACGCAACAATGTCGTGGCAAGCACGTGGCAACAGACTATTACTGAAAGGCGACTACATTCGCCAACGAATCGGCCTCTTCGTCGACGAAGGTTCAGTTTCCATCTGGATTCTGGAAAGACTTATGGTTCAATAACTCATCTCGAAATGGATCAATATACAGCTGAAACTTTGTCGGTGCCCGGCTGGAATTTGGCCGTACTCCCGCTGTGAATGCATCCGCTTCGAGTGGAGTTATAGTGCAGCATAGCAGAATTATCGAACAGAAAATTAACTTTCATCTGGGCTTCTAAGTTTCTACTCTGCACGCGAAATCACTATGCGAAACTTAAGCGATCTCCAACGAACACTTACGCAAATCGCCGAGCCCGCAATAGCGCCTGTAGTCAAGACAAATCAATTTCTGGGCACTTCAAGCATTCCTTCAAGCAGGTAAAACGAAACCATTTTGCTGTTCACATCTAGCATGCCCTGCAGACAACGTCGTTAACACGTGAGCCGCAACATTTAAACGAATCCCGCAAATCTGTAGCGATGCGAACAGGGGTCGGAACGCTTGGTAACAGGCGACGTGCGGCTTCTGCAACACTGTCGTCTGCCTCTTCCGATCCACTCTGCTGAGTGCCGTTAGCCCCAAAACAACAAGGTACCAAATCGCTCCGCGGTCAAGGATATGCACCTGAGATTTCCGCTTGCGGCCAGCCATGTGGGTCCGAGATTTCGATACCCGGGCGAGAAAACAGCGGATTCACGATCGAACAGCGCAGTCGCAAGATCCACAGACACAAAGAGCGCTGCACACCGCGTAGCCACCAGACGACCGACGAAACGGAAGCGACGAACACAAGAACAAAAAAAAAAAAAAAGGGCGGCCCTCTTTCGGCACTCTACCCCCTAACCTTCGCTCTACTTTGTTAATTTTTTTTATTTGTTCGGCTAGGTTTCCGCTTGTCAAAATGATGTTGCGCGGCGCAAACCTCCTCGACGCTTTCTAACGTCGCACCACCCAAAAAAACGCTGCGGGAGGCCAGGCGACCCACGCAAAATAGCAACTTCGCTGACCGTCTAAATATATTCCGAAACAAGAATAAACAAAACAAAACGGGCGGCGCGGCAACCGACCGAAAGACGAAACAACAAATTTTTATTTTTCTCGGATGTTCAAAAACCCAATTACGCCAAAAACGAAGAACCCCTCGCAAACCCGGGGAGCTTGAGCAGACCGTTATATGAACGCGCCATTTTTCTACGGCAGGAGTAAGTCTTTACAGTTATTTGTTTAGCCTACGCGCGGCCACTGCGGTACAAGCGTTCAAGGTCTCCGGCCAAAGCGCCGCTTTGAAGGTTATGCGTCGCGATGACTGCATAGAGTGCCTTCGCCTGCTCGGACTTTCTCGCAACCGGTTCTTGACAAGAAGGATTTGAAAGACGCCGCCGTCATTAGCGTTCCACCTTCCAGAGGGTTCCAGAAAACCGGATGAACGAAGTAGACGACATTCATACAGCAAGCAGACGATCGGCCGCCGGAAATCAATGGGGGCACACATTCATAGCCAAGCCAACGACGAAGCCAGCACTCGTACTCGCTGCCCATGGGTTCTGGCGCCCATTTATAGCACGGCATTCCGTAAAATCGACGCCGCGACACGCGAAAGCACGGTCGTTGCACTAACGGAAGCCACTGCAAAACACGGCACGACAGACTAGATTAATTCACGCGTCCAGCGCGAAATGCGTTGTCATCAACTTGCGCAATCGCGCCACGAAATGTCGACAGCCTGGCGCTGCACACTTACCCTGTGGAAACGGCTAGCCCAGTCTGTAGACCACGAAGGCGAATTGGTCTCGTAGAACATGTTGTTATCCTCTTCGGGTTGAAACCCGAACCTGCGAAGTATCTCCGATCGTCTCTCGTCCGAGCTTCGGTCGGGATTAAACTGAAACGGCACCCGTCTGTAGCTCATATTTATCGGCTACCCACCACAGCGCAAAAAACCTCGCAACGCCGTTTCGACCGCCTACGCGTACACAGGCGTGGAAAAAGAAAGAAGGAAGAGAACGAACAACAAAAAAAAACTAACACGACGTCACCAATCGCGGGAGCCAATCGGAGAAAGTAGCGGAGAAACGTCACTGTTTGAACCGACGAATCGAAAAAAAGAATGACGGACTGCTAGCGCTACCGCTATGGGAAAATGAGAACGACAAGCTTCTCGAAAATCCCGCGTTCCTTCGCGCGCGACGATAAACTACGGGAGACGTCGCGAACATTCCAGAAGTAGCGCGCCAGATTTGAACGTGCCTCGTTTTGAACCCATTGTGTCACCGACGCTCATGAGAAGTTGGTTTCTTGAGCTCATCCAGGTGACGAAAATAACGTTCGGGCGGGTTGCAGGAAAATTCAACACCTCAATGTGGTTTAAACGTCGATTACCAAAAAAAAAGAAAAAAAAAAGAAACAAGAAGCCTAGAAAAAGCTGCAGCCGGTGCACAGTTGTTTTGGATGCTGTTTGTTCAGATTTCGCCGTTGAATAAAAAGTGTTAAATTTCGTATGGGTGTCAGACGAATGTGTTTTCTTGGCTTTATTGAACAAACGGCACCACATTGGTTATATACAGCGGTTGGTTGATGTTTTTTAATGATCTATCACAGCATCGATACATTGACTTCCACAGTGCACTCGATCAATCATGTGCTCGTCTATGGTGTGTTTAGTCCCCTCATGAGAAATATGTAATCCATCCAGATCACTGCTTCACTAATGCTAACAGATGACTGTTTCTCAATTTCTTTCTTTTCTTTTTATTTTAGCCCTTGCAGAGAGCGATGGTGCATTGGTAGCCTCCTCACATACATTCTAGCTCTCTATCTAATACAATGTACCACCTGCATTTTATCTGAACTTTTCCCAGCATGTATATGAGTACAGACATAACCACATTGCCAAAACTTGTAATTTAATAATGTTTATTATGTGAAACGAACACAGCAATTAATTACGCTTGTATATACACTAATGCCCGTATAAATACAATTGTGCTTTCAAAAATGACAGCCCATTTACTACCGTGAAATGCTACATTAGCTTCCAGTCAACTTACATACTGTTACAGTTGGATTTATATACGCACGTGTCCCCCACTGTTCTGTGTTTATTTGTTCTACCATTAATGTAACTTGTGTATTTATAATGAACTAGTAGCATCAATTAACGTGCTGGTTGCGAGAGATCATGACTATCACGGCTGCTAAAAGCTAATCTTTTCGCCCACCTTTTTTATTTTTTCACAGTTAGATTTCAGTTACTTCTAATCACATTCCTATAATTTCCTTGACATCCATGTCTGTCAGATCTCATTAATGTTGCGTCTAACCAAGAAAGCAAGCCTTTCATTCAGGTAAACATAAGCCACTATATGGTATAACATAACGGCACATATGTACAAACAAGTCGTCACATGTTTTCTGCCTATCATCTTTGGATCACAACGTTCTGCCTTCCTGCATCATGAGGGGGATAGAAGCATATCAATCACTTGTTTATACTTTGACGTTCTTTCGTTTGTGTAGATGCCCCCCCCCCCCCCCCCCAACAGCCACTATAATTGCCCGCGTATAAGACGCGCGCGCCGCTGCGTGTTCAATAATGCTACTTCAAGCAACCTCCGTGACTTGCATTTGCTGAATTTACATTTCGGAGGCAGTGTAAACCGCAGTAGTTTTTTTATTGCGTTCGACGAAAGATGGCGCTTGCAACGTAGCGGCAAGTAGGTTATAAATGTTGGGCGGCGGTCAGCGTTGTATCGATCGTTTCCCGGATTTCGCGAACATTCTCGATCGTTGTAGGAGGGCGAGGGGCGGTCGCAGACTCGAAACCGGCAGCGTTCGCAACCGCCCCGCCGCTCCCAACTCATGATTTCCTAATTTCCCGCCCCGCGTGCTGCGATATAGCCGTGAAAAAAAGATTACTTGCGCACCGTTTACGGCAGGGACGTCAAATAAGCGGCCCACGGCCCACCCTCCATCCCAAAATTTTTCCTAAGTACTTTATGCCAAGTTTTGACACACAACCGTGGAACAAAAACTGCATCTCAGAATCGGTGTTTACATTTCGGACATCCCGGATATTGCTATCAAACTTCTTTCTCAAATTCTGAGGCCCTATCTCTACCAGGAATGACCTATACATTATATTACGAAGGTCCGTCTTCTTTGAAATGCGAACGTTATTTAGCGTTTCGCTGAAACTTTTTCACTGCACCCCTTCCTCCTCGCTCGCTCGTATACCATGTCCCGGCCCAGGCGCGACCACATTTCGTAACATTGGCAGCTAGCTGAGGTGAGTTCTAGCACTCCGAATCATTGAAGCAAGCGCAAGGAAAATAGAGACGCAAGCTCTTTCAAGTGAATTTTAATCGTGGGAAAGCGGGCTGGTCTCGCTGCATATACATGTATGACGTAGCTTGAGAGACTCCCGTATGTATAAATTTCTTGCTTCCTCGCATTAGAACTGTGCTTAGTGTTCGCTCTTCGGTACTTTTCAGTTCGGCGAAGATGCCCGCCAGAAAGCAGACGATCCGCGTACAGAAGCAGCGGCTGCTGCAGCGCAGTTGAGAACATAGTCCACAAACTGACGTCACACGCGAGAGGGCGCCACTCCAAAGATTCTCGAGGTCAATACAGGCGCACAACCCGGATGCTTTTTTCACGTGCAGATAAACTTGAGCGTGACGAAGAACGGATCAGAGTCATGTAGCTAAATCTGATGTTTTCCCAAGAATGTGTATATAGGATTTACGCGGTGTCTATACGTCCGATAGAGAATCCGATAAGCGATGCCCCTCACGGCGACACGATTCGTACCGCTCAAAAAAAAAAAAAAAAAAAAAAAAAAAAAAAACGAAATATCGCGACGAGCTGTATTGTGCGAACAGGTATTCCGATCGAATTTTGAGCACTGTCAGTGGCGTAGGCACCAATAAGCTGAAGGAAAGGGTAAGAAGGCGAGATTTATTGCGCGTTGTTTTCTATTCAGCTAGCGCAACACGCTTCTTCCTCAAGTACTAGTCACCTTTTCGCTGACTTTATGTGTTCATAACGTCCCAAAGAACGTTCAGCTGAGCATCTCATTGAACTGCGGTTGATTGCTGGCCTAGGTGCACAATTCTTTAAAGTTTCATTCTATTTCTAAATTTAGTAATCTGTAAGGTAGCGGTGAAGCAAATGCAATGCGTTGTTTTGAACCAAGAGGAGCCAAGGCATCAAGAGGATAGTGTAGTGAACATAAAACAGTTATTTTCATACGGCATATTTTATTGAACTGCAGTAGTAATTAATGTTGGTAGAAAAATAAAAACAGAGTGTGCTGAAAAAAAAATAAAGTGACACGAGCTGTCTGTTACATTTTGTACCGTATTTAAGAACAATCGATGACAAAACACAACTCTAGAGTGCACAACCCGTGTGCATCAACACGATGCTTACGGCAGCAAAATTACGACGAACTTCGAAAACCTAAATCATACAATCAAAACGGCGGCGACTTTGAGCAAAACGGTCGGTTACCGCGGAAGCGCCGATTCATGTTTCTGTGAGAATAGAATAGTGCGAGTCCTGTAAAACCTTCTTATGGCATGTCGAGCGCAAGTATTTTTTAAGCAACCTCAGCTATGATATGCTAGAAAAGCTTCTTTCTGCTGAAGCAGTGGTGATTGGAAGTAGCCGGTAGAGATTGGGATAAAATTTTTCGTCACAGTGTGCAAGGGCGTCGGATCCTGTGCTAGGGCGCATGGCAGGCTCAGTCTTCTCCCACTTACACCAACCGAGTCTCAGATACCCCATTACGGCTCTTAAGTCCACATCTGGCTGGACGGCCCCGCCGCGGTGGTCTAGTGGCTAAAGTACTCTGCTGACCCGCAGGTCGCGGGATCTAATCCCGGCTGTGGCGGTTGCATTTCCGATGGAGGCGGAACAGTTGTAGGCCCGTGTGCTCAGATTTGGGCGCACGTTAAAGAACCCCAGGTGGTCGAAATTTCCGGAGCCCTCCACTACGGCGTCTCTCATAATCACATGGTGGTTTTGGGACGTTAAACCCCACATATCAATCAATCATCTGGCTGGACGAGCTTTGCCGCTCGATCCTCTCTGATGTCTTGCGCTGTCGAAAAAAAAAATGGAGGGAATGATAACTTTAAAACATTCAATAACTGTTCTCTGGCGTCCAAAGCGTTCATCCAACTGTACCAGTATGGAATTGATGAAAGGAACGAACACGTGTCTGTGGCAACATTCTTCGGGGCTCTCGGCTACGGGGCTTATATACACTTTGCGTTGCTGTGTATGCTGCTTTCGTTGATTAGACATGACCACACCTATGATTAGGAGACCAAATCTTCCACATCGAAATAAATTTTCCCCATGGAGTGGTCTGCCTCTTCGCGGATTTTTCTCATTACATCTTGGGCAGCGTCGACACCGTTTAGTGCCGCGATAATGTCAACATCCTTCGCCTGCAGCTTTCTGGAGAGTGGCATTGTGATTGCTAGTATGTGTTCAGCAATGTGTGCACCAAGATCCGGTGGTGATAGTAATGCATGTAACAAATTGTTTGCTTCTGTTGATCGACCTTTCCGAACTCTCTTTCCTTTTGATGTCTTCCAGTGTTGCGACGACAGCCTCAAACAAATCTACATAATAAAGAAGAGCGAATTATCCCCCCCCCCCCCCTCCTCCCAACGCTTTTCGCACAAATTGAAGAGCCACTTCCTTTGCGACTGCCGGTACATCGACCCAACGGTGTCTCGCGCAGCAGCAGAGCGCTTAGCTGATTGCCTAAAACGTTTTGCTGTTTATTTCCCTGTTCCGAAGCAATCACGTATATCCCCGACAGAGCAGGCATGTATACAAAGCACCAGGTTGAGCGCATGGCTGGCGCAGTGCATGCATATATGGGTATTGCATGTCCATATGGGTATGTATATCTGCATGTATATAAGGCAGATGGGTATTTTTTTCGCGCACGGCAGCGTGTAATCCATTAA